TTGTGCGGATAGAGTGGATGTACTGTTTGAAGCGTCAAAAAGTAACCACGACGAAGCCGTGGTGTCGCGTGTGAAGACGTGTCCGGGGTTGGCGGCGTTTGACTGGGAGTGGGATGGCACCGGTGAGGTACCGAAGGGTATGGTTGGAGTCGGCGGGTTCGAAGTATTGCTGGAATTGATGTGCTGTTTTCCAGAACTCGATACGATGGCACCGATTACCGCGTACCCTTCTGGTCAGGTGTGGAAGGTTTGGACGTGTGCTCAATCCTCGTCGGCGCTACGCGATCTCGTGGCTGGCCAAGGTTTAAAGCCGGAGGAGTATGCGCCGCATTCCGGGAGGATAGGTGGCGCGACTCGGTTAGGGGCGATGGGGTTGTCGNCTAGGAATTTGTGGTCGCCCGAGTTGGAATCCGGCCCGGATTCCAACTCGACTTGGCTGGAATTCCTCGAATTGGAATTTTTCGGGATTCCAACGTCCCCATAATTTAGGTTTTTTACCCCATTCCTGGAATTCCCGGGAATTCGCGGGAAATAATGTCGAGGGGTCCCACCAAATTTTCCCCGAATTCCTGTTCCATAACAATTGGCCTTAATCAATTTGTTTTCTATTTCCGAGTGGGTTGTACCCTGTTTTTGTTTTGTTTCCCCGCGGCGTCGTATGTGCCGGGTTCTGAGACCACGGGCTCCCCATTTTTGGTGGACTATAGAGCTAATGTGAGAAACAAAACAACAACAACAACAACAACAACAACAACAACAACAACGTGCCTTGGCCAGTAATCTTTCGGTATGTCATCTTATGTACAGGTTGGACCCTTCGCGCTTTCTGAATGCTCGGTTCGTGCTCACCGAGTATCGCATATTAACGTTCTATTTTTTTTCTCATCTCTTCGGCAACAGCCACGCCAATCCGTCGTCGGACACTTTCTTCCTCAGTATGTTGGACCCTTGGCGCCTTCGGAACGCTCGGTTCGTCCTGGCCGAATATTCCATGCACGTCTTTTCTATTTTCTATGGTCTCCGTGGAAAAAGTTACTATTCAGTGGAAAAAGTTACGTATTTTTTCGGCCTGATGATAATACCCGTTAGGCAACATCTACGCCTTTTTCTCTCGCTTCCGCTCCTGACCTAGTTGTTGTTGTTGTTGTTTTTGTTGTTGTTTTTGTTGTTGTTTTTGTTGTTGTTGTTGGTGTTGTTGTTGTTGTTGTTGTTGTTGTTGTTGTTGTTGTTGTTGTTGTTGTTGTTGTTGTTGTTGTTGTTGTTGTTGTTGTTATTGTTGTCTTCACCGTAAAAACCGTTCCGATCTCTCTCTACCCAGTACCTTCGTATGTCCGGACTGATCCAACACTCGACGCGGTCTATGCCCGTGGTCGCAGGCTAACTTACCCTAAAAAGGTACACTAGTGGATAGCGCTAGTTCGTGTGTACACAGAGGGAAGAGAGTGCTGAACTCTTCTCGCATTAACAATCGAAGTCAAACTACCGCAGGAGGGGAGGGTAGAGAGGGGCTCTTCTGTGTGACCACGGGTTGGAGTAAACGGCACCAGTGCTGTGAGCGCTGATTTGAGTGAAGACCACAAAAAAGAAACAAAAAAATCGTCTCTTCGGCAACGACATACGAACGAGTTCTTCGCCTTCGTCCTGTGACACAGTCTGCGATTAAGGTTTCGTTATGCGTTCCTGAGTGTAGGTTTGACCCTCCGCTCTTTCGGAATGCTCGGTTCATGCTGAGCAACTATCCCATGCTTTCATGTCAATTCAGGATTTTTATCTCATATATTCATGTACTTTTCTGGGGTCATTGTCTTCATTCTTGCGCCATCGTGATATATGTTCCATTGTCGTTAAAGTAGTTGTTCCGATTGTTGTCTTCACATTAATAACCCTTCCGGTCTCCGCTCAGTACCTTCTAATGTCCTTACCGTTCCGACTGACGCGGACGCCTTTCGTGGTCACAAGCCAACTGCCCCCAAACAAGGCGCGATTCTTTTTTCTACCCAACCAGACAGAAGAAAAAACAGGAAAGAAAACATAGTTCCAAATCTGATTCTGGCGTATCAGCATGCCATTTTTTTTTCGTATCCAAATTTTTAGAAGGGTGGAATATGCGGCCGTTTGTGTTTTGTTTCCATCTGCAACTCCGGTACCACCTCATCATCCGGTCGGCTTGGTTTTGCGGGGATCTCTGCGCACTGGGTGACACAACAGCAATAATAGTAAAGTTATCCATCCAACGGTAGCTGCGGTATGGGGCCTCATGTGGGGTGGTTGCTACAGACCGTGAGGCGCTGGGTGGTTAGAATTGAAGTTGGCGAAGAGAGGGAACTGCTGTTCGAACAAGACCCCTCGCTCGAACAAACAGCTGTTGACAGATTTTGGCTCCATCACAGCGTTGGTCTTGAGCGACCCCTCTTCACTAACTGAACCAGCAGATACCACAAGGAAGGCCATCCGCTCGTAGCTGTGGGTATGGTGCCTGTTGTGACGTGGATTTTAAGAGACCGTAACGCGCTGAGAGGCTGAGCAACGGAGTTGGCGAGGACCGACTGGCTGCTGTTTTACTCGAAAAATGACGTCATCATCATCATAATGCCGCTCACTGCTGTACAGATATCTTGCCGCGTCACTGGTGGCGCTGTAACTATCCCTCTCCATTGACCGAACCAACAGCATCAATGACACAGCCGTCCGACAGAGAGCAGTTGATGGAGCTCACATCCTCGCAAGTTACAGCAGCAGGGGTGATGAAGCGAGCGAGAAAATGAACATATCGTCCATAAATATGTGTGGGTTGGGATGCCTCCATCTCTTCGGGTCGATCCTTTCTCCGTATCTCTATCACCAGGCTGTCTGATTCAACGCGAAGCCGATTGTTCTCAAGGGCCCCACGAACACATCTACGTAAACGTTATTCAAAGGAAGGAAATGATCGACATGGTGGACACTAGCTCGTGATACCGACATGGATGACGGGTCGATTCTCCGTGTTGAAGATTTCGTCTTTTCCGCGGGCATTTAGAAAATTCGTTTCTTTTCTAAACTACACTAGTTTTTGTACATCTGGCTGTCTGCCCATCTGCCGCCTCTGTGTCCTGTTTCCTCCGTTACTCCAATGCCCTGGTGCGTAGTGCCTGGTGCTGCTACGGTACCCTTTGATTTTTGCTTTAGGCGGGTGTGGGAAGCGTCCTCCATTGTTTTTTCGATTTTTTTTCTTCGGTTTCCGAGAGCTCGTTTTTCGAACGGTCGGTGCGGTACCTGTTCTTTCTTTTTATCAATATGCTTTCTTTTTCCGAGTGGTTTGTGCCCTATTATTATTATTTTATTTTTTTTCGAAAGGATACCACCACATTTACCCCTACTGGACGAGGATCCAGTAAGTTTACCCTAAGGCAGTAAATGCAGAAGCATGCTGTGTTGTTATCAACTTATGGATCTGTGTGATTCTGGGCACAGTAAAGTGATACTCCCCTGCTAGTGATAACAGGCTCAACAAGACAGTTTAGTAGTCATCTTGTGTATCGGACCATACTAATGGGAGAATCGAAGGTTACGTATATGTGTGGCGAGTTACATTTCATCCTACTGAATTGAAGCAGCCATATGTACAGCTGCATATCTGCTACTCATCAAGCGGCGTAATATGTTTTACAGCAGCAGTTTCGTCGTTTGGCGGCGTGATAGGTATGCTTATGGGTATCAAAGATACATTCCTGCCATAAGATATGGTTGTTGTTCATGTATGTTTCTGTATCTGTATGTTGTATACTTCCTGTCCACGTTGTTGATGTAGCTCACGGTTCGTTTTCTTCCTTTTGTTTTGTTTCCCCGCGGCTTTGTATGTGCCGGTTTTTGAAACCACGGACTCCCCATTTTTGGCGGACTATACAAGCTAATACGAGAAACAACAACAACAACAACAACAGCAACAACAACAACAACAACAGCCTGACTCTTTCCTTCATGAGTTTCCGTCCGTGGTACAGCAGTATGTACAAAATGATGAATCAACACTGTCCTTCATTTTGGCTTCGGCCTCTGTGCTATGTTTCTTTTTTTTCATGTCCTCCCTGCCTACTCTGCTGTGTTGGGTACCTGGATCTCGCTTTTGCTGTTGCTCTTGTTTTTGTACATCTGGCTGTCTGCGTCTCTGCCGCCTCTTTGTCCTGTTTGCTCTGTTTCTTCCATGCCCTGGTGCAAAGTGCCTGGTGCTGGTGGTACGTTACCCTTCGATTTTTCCTTTGGGCGGGTGTGGGAAGCGTCCTCCTAAATTTTTGTTTTGGTTTATTTTGTTCGGTTTCCGAGGGCTCCTTCCTCGCATGGTCGGTGCGGTAGCTGTTATTTTCTTTCTATCAATTTGTTTTCTTGTTCCGAGTGGCTTGTACAATATTTATTGTTTTGTTTCCCTGCGGCGTCGTATATGTGCCGGGTTTTGAGACCACGGGCTCCCCATTTTGGGTGGACTATAGTGCTCATGTGAGAAGCAACAACAACACCAACAACTGACGAGTTGTACCACTCTATCCACTCTATTTCAGGGCCACCATCGTGCCGGGAAAAAACTTCTGAGTTTGCCGGAAGACGACCATGAAAACATGGAAGACCCTGTTCAATGCTCGACTTCTGTTCGTGACTACTTGCGCGTTGGCTGCCCAAGAAGATCTCCGAGTTGCCCTGCCCATCTCTAGAGTGGAGATCGACGGTGGCTTTCAGGGTAAACCAGACAACGAGCAGGTGAGGCATCTTGCAAAAGCCCTTGGTGATACTGTTGATTGATGATGTCGCTTTTTTCAGCACCCAGCCGCGAAGGCAGGCTTGAGGACGAGCAAAGGTATTGCGGGGTTCCACTATAGGGTGGGTTTGTTGTTGCTGTTGTTGTTGATGTTGTTGTTGTTGTTTCTCACATTAGCTCTACAGTCCACAAAAATTGGGGAGCCAGTGGTCTCAAAACCCGGCACATACGACGCCGCGAGAAAACAAAAGAGCAAAAATAGGGTACAAACCACTCGGAAAAAGAAAACAAAATAAATGATAGAAAGAAAAGAACCGGTATCGCACCGACCGTTCGAGAAAAGAGCCCTCGGAAACCGATCGAAATAAAANAGGCGGCAGATGGGCAGACAGCCAGACGTACATAAAACAAAGGCAACAGCAAAGCGAGATCAAGGTACCCAACACANCGAAACAAAAATAAAGGAGTGCGCTTCCCACACCCGCCCAAAGAAAAAATCAAAGGGTAACGTACCCGCACCAGGCACCAGGGCATGGGAGTAACGGAGCAAACAGGGCAAAGAGGCGGCAGATGGGCAAACAGCCAGACGTACATAAAACAAAGGCAACAGCAAAGCGAGATCAAGGTACCCAACACAGCAGAGTAGGCAGGGAGGTCATGAAAAAAAGGAACACAGCACAGAGGCCGAAGGCAATACAAAGGACATACATAAAGGAGTATAGCATACAGCAGGGAGGGAAACAGGGCGCAACAACATCAGCCGGGTACATAGTTCGCCACAAGCGCTGCCTCGGCCGCCCTACTCGCTTCTACAGCAGAGCCCGGTCGCCGTTTCTTCCCCCCCACCGCCGCTTCCCCGGTTCTCTTTCTCCTCGGTCCTGACATGGCCGTACTCTCTGCTTCTGCTTCCCTCGCGCGCTGGCGCTTCGCGGACTCTTCCGCCTCCTGCCTGTGCCATTTTCTCGTGAACCATGCCGCCCCGTCCGTCCTCGACCTTGTTGTACCACACCTCCGGATCCTTGGCGCTCTCTTTCCATTTACCCCCCTTCCTTTTCGTCTCCCATGTTGAAGGCCACGAGGTCCTCTCCTAGACGAGACACCCAGTCGCTCTCCTGCCCGCCCCGGTATCCCACGCCCCCCGCCATCGCTCCTAACAGCATGCGCTTGGGGAGGCGGCTGTCCTCCATGCGCATTACAAAGCCCGCGAAACACAGTCTCCATCTGCGCACGGTGGCCTCGATGGTTTCCTCGCAGCCTGCCTGGATGAGGGCCTGGCCATAAGACAGGGGGCGGTCTGAGCGTTTCCGCTTGCTCCAGCCGATGAACCGTGTAAGGAACTGGCGGTGGGTCTCATTGAGCTTCGTGTAGTGCTCCGGTGTCAGGCTCCACGAGGCGCGGTTTGTACCCGGCCGATTCTCCGTTTTACCCTCCCTGTATCGGGCAACCACACCCCATGCAATGTTGATGAGCACACACTGATGGCAGATTTTCTACCGTGACAGTGGATGTACCCGCCCTGCACCGGCCACCGCCCGATTGAGAGCGCAGTGCTGCATGTACACAAATGTGAACCTCTATCTTTTAGATACGTCTGTTCCTTCTGCTGTAGTGGAACACTACAGCATCAAGAACTATGCGTGTGCCTTAAGTATCACAGGAGCATTGACGGCGCCTATCGGCTGGCCAAATTAAAGACCCCAGGCTCAGTTTGAAGAATATCGGAAACTGCTGGTGGCAATGTCTGGTTATCAGTCCCATGTTCTCCGGGAGCCGATGTTCTCGTTTATTCCGGATGCGTATGACGCACGAGCCGGATTCACGCATAAAGACCGTGACCGTATGAGCTCTTACTTTGTCTCCTGCCCACCTTGTCTCCTGTGCTGATTGTCTTCAACTTCCATAAAGATATGAAACGCGAGAAGGGTTCGGTGATGTGCGCGCTTTCACTGAGCTGTTGGTGTTGGGCTTCAAGGAGACTCGAACCCACCACCTAGGGGCAGACATTGGCACGAATAGCAGATTACGACGAGAACCATTCACGCACTCCTGCTGTGTATCCGAGTTACTGCAGAGCAAAGGTATTCCCAGACAAACCCAACAATCGCCGAACTCGGAAAGACACATAGCCCGGACTGTTTCATTCCAAAAACACTCGAAGAGGAGCGGCTGCTGTCGCCCCATACTCGCCTAATTTTCAGCTCTCGATTTCCAAGGGTGCTGAACTCAGGTGTCAGTCTCTTTTTCGCAGACAGCGGAAAGGGGCACTCAAATGAAATATGTTGTTAATCCAGTAGGTATGGTATCGTACATCGACATTACAGTACCAGATAAGCTTCTGCCTACCGAACCCCTCCTTGGCTAGGCTCACAGCTACAGATCCCATGAACGAGCCCCGCACACGGCCTCCGGTGATGGACTACACAAGGCGACGGTGGGGATGCCAGCATCCTTTACGATTCAGTTGGTGGGAGACAACCTTGGCGATTTCCACGTTTTGCTGCCTAATTGGGAGCGAATCCGAAGCAGAAGGTTCATCTACGTGTGGATCGCCAATGAGGACCAGGTGGGACGGGCATTGAGCTACTCCATTGTTCGGGAGAAAATGTTGTTGTTTGTTGATATCTTTGGGGAGGAGGTTGGTCGGGGCAGGTGCCCACGTCGAGCGTCATCACCACCTACCCACGCATGCATGCATACGTAATTTTTCCCTTGTTGCGCATGTGGCCGTCGTACAGTGTCACCAATCTTCTCATCCCGGATGAAGAGTCGGCTGAAGAATACGAACGTTTGGCGTCTCATAATGACCAGGGGGTCGGGTCGAAGGCCGATTTACACCGCTGACATTTGGTCCAGACGTTCGTATTCTTCAGCCGACTCTGCATCCGGGATGAGAAGATTGGTGATACCATACGACGGCCTCATGCGCAACACGGGAAAATTCACGTATATGGGTACTCCATTCGCTGTGAGTGGCAATGCTGGTGGCGGAGTATGTGTCGGGTGCACCTGATTAACGGTTGTGAGTGTAGTTCATTTTTTGTATTCGATCCTCAACAGGACATTGAAGGGGTGAGTAAGGGGTCGCAGGGAGAGGAACCCCTCTGAGGGACGATAGAGTGGAGTTCCTATCAGGCACAAATGCTGAAAGCGCTGGTTGAAAGCGATCAACAATATTTCGTTCGTTCAACGGACTACTATACTATCCGCCTTGAGTACAACTCACACTACCTGTGTACGCACACGAACCTTGAATTGCACACTTCAGATCTTGACCGCCGAGGTAGTTGACGGCGGCCGCAAGGACGGCACTCTGACTGCCACGTACAAGAGCGATTTCCCCGGGAATTATTCGGTGCACATCGAAGAAGTCCAGCTTTCCAAAAAGGGCGAGGGCGTTCCAATCTTGGGCAGCCCATTCTCACTCACGATTGCAGGCGATGCGCCCACGCTGAACGTCAACTCCCTTCCAGTTTGTAGCTCCGACGAAGATGCCAACACCGACATCGCGGATACGTTTTGGAGACCTGGGACGTGGCTTTCCTCGAACGTGGCCAGTGCGGCGCATGGAGTTATGAGAAACGGGTGGGTGTTTCAGCCCAAATCTTGTGTTTTCGACACATTTTCTTACGAGGATCTTATGCTCCTTGCCAGCATCGGTGGCGAGCCCACGTGGCTTCTAGTGTTGGGTGGATCAGTCGAAAGAGGCGTGTTTCTGACCCTGATCGACATGGTGTTAGCGGCAGGGCAAAAGCAAGGCATCCGCTCCAGTGTACTTAATAAATGCTGGGGATACGCGGACGTCCGGGTTGGAAACCTCCGCCTGACGTATCAGGTACGGCATTCTCGAATCATGTCCATTGAACTACGCTGCGGTTGGCGGTACTGACGGTGCTTGAATGCTTCTTCTTGTTTCGTACTGTTTGTTGTTCCGAGGTTAACGTCGGGGAGACGTTGCCTAAGTGGCCCTGGGTGAAGTGAACTCGCTCGGGTCCCAAGCGGGGAGTGAGTAGGAGCATTATTGGAAGTACTTTCGAAACAGGAAAGTGGGACAGTAGAACACTGATTTTCAACGCTTCCTATCATGATGACAAGATGAACAGTCTTTCGTTAATAACCCGATTATTCGTCGGTAGCATACTCCGCAAGTGAGGGCATAAGAACCTTCATTCTTTGAATCGGTTCCGTTATATACCCTTGGTCCGCATTGCGGAGCAGTCGTTTAACGCCGCACGCATTCGTAACGTCCGTTTTTACGTACACTCTCTTTACACAGGATATGCGACTGTTTCGATTCACCATCAGTACCGGTAAGCATACCCTCATTGGCTGGTAGCTGTGTCGGATGGTTTGCACAGGTGCATTGCTGTTAGAATGGTCTCGCGTGTTCTACATGTCCATACTTGTCGGTCGACCGTTGGGTTGCTCCGTGTACCCTCTCAGCTTCCGCAGCTGTGAGTTGACAGGAGCCGTTTAAAATGAAGAAGCATGTCGGACATGGGTGCGCTATTCCCACCGTCGCGTTGGTCTTTCACACTGAAGACAAATGGGCTACAATGTCGACTTCCCTTCTTTATTAGGCATCAAACTGCTCTTTATTCCGTATGCAATGCGTACTTCCCTGTACTTCCCCGTACACGTACTGTAGGTGGTCGTGACTATTAATATGTCGACCTGTTTCGTCAAAGGTACCCGGGACGATTGCCTTGCGAAACAACCCCCGAGGTAAACCGAACGTTGGAGTATTGTGTAATCACGTAAGAGCAATAATTCACGTTGTCAATACTGCTCATATTAATGTAAGATGGAAATAAATATTCTGGTTGCCGCAATGGCTGTTCCACATCGAAGCCGAGACCAATACCATGCTGCCGAATGTCACCAACGCTAGCCTCTCCAACCCGGCAGATTCGGTGGCCTGCAACAACGAAAAACTCACGAGCGAGAGCACGTCAGCCTTGGTACACTCCGCCGGGCAGTTCCTGGCGTCGACCGTTTTTCAAGATGGTGGCCAGTGGCCGACGATGATGATGGCTGCGTCTCGTTTGATCCCAACCAGGGCGGAACATACCCAATTCTCGGTTGAGGTGACACCGAACGAACAAGGAAAATATCCGATGATCAGCCTGCGTTTTATCTTTTTCCGTCATAGAGCGTAGGACCTAGGTTGCCTATCCACGGTACGCAGCTCCATCGGCGTGAACAATCGAATAGTGCTTGGCCTTGACGCGGTCCCTACGATCTTCGAGATCAACGATGCCAGCGACTCTTTTTAGAGTTTTTGTCATGTGCGGTAGAATGCACGAGTCGATGTGTGGTAGGGAAAGCAGATTCGCATCCTGACAAGGGATTGGGAACAGGCGGGTTAGGAAATCAAACCAAGATATCTTACGGGAACCAACCAGGGCTTGTCGCGCCTGGCCCTGAGAAACTCTGCTCGTTCTTGCTTGGGTAGCAGTTGGGTTCTCCACCTTTCGTACACTGTGATCGCGCCTAAGATATGCACACTCAACTCGTGTCTCACAAATGTGCTGGCATCCGCAGGTACTCATGGATGCCATGCCGCCTAGCTGGGAAGGAAAACTCTTTTTTGTGGATCACATGGCTGGATTGGTGAGTGCAACCAGGTTCCCCTGTGGGACTTCCAGTACGCTTTGTAGCCCTAAGATGGCCGATTGGACGATCACCACCCGAGGTCATCGAAGAATGTGACGATTGACTTGCTGAAGTAGCATCTCCGGCGTAATCTGTTTTTGCAGCGACTTTTCTGAGCCGTAACAACCCACTCGAAGGCCGGACGGGGGCATTATGATCGTGCTGCAGAGTCATGTAGAGGAGTTCGGCAAAGAAAATGAGCCAGCACCGTCTCCGTCGGCTGCCAACGGAATCCCCTTCTCAAGATCTAGATTCCTTCTGGTGACCACACTGAGCTTCCCGTTTCCTTCACACGCTGCACAACAACATTCAGGGAAACTACTGGACTGAAGAGAACCCAACTATGACCGCTCTGAAGAACGTCGGGATATGGTTTGACCGCATGTCGCCAGACGACGACAATGGACTGGGCAAAATGGACGGATACCAAACCCGAGACCCTCGGGTGTCGTTCATGAGCGTCTTTCCTGTGAGCTTGGCGGGTTCAGAGTCAATTTAATCGTGACGATGGGATGCCTCCATGTTGATGTCCGTTCCGATCTTTGCCTAGTACATTTTACAATTTGCACTGAGCATGCAGGCACTGACACCCTTCCCAGTCATAATACCCCAACGAAGAGCATGACGTGTGACGTATTAGAATGACCAAGAAGTGTTCCCCACAGGAGTGACCGATAGTGGGCGGGCGAAGGAGACTGTTTCATGGATCCCATACCTCCTCTTCGACATGTTTCACCCGTTCCCCCTTGAAGACCGCTAGGACATATACACCATTTTCCCTCACATTGGTTCACAGATAAATGCATCGTCGTGCACATGAACTTGTCGTACGTGGATTCATTCAAGCTCCGAAGATCGAAATCCTCCAACATGTTCACTTTTCCCGGTCACCTGTGCAGGAAGCGCTGGCGTTGTTGGCTTGGGCGTGGGTGCTTGTTTCATTTACGCAACTGTGTGGGTGATTACGTTTTTTTCAAGCCGCCTCGCCGGCTCGAGCAATGCAGTGCCACACGCGCACGGTATCCCATGCATGGGTCAAGCTTTCCCGTGCTACATTTTCACCCCACCTCTTTGTCCTCGTCACGGTGGGGTATTCCTGAAATGAATCCGCCTCTTTTCTGTCATGCAGGCATGCGTTCTTGGTAAACAACGTGGACTGCCCAGGCGTCGAAAATAAATCGTTTGGCACTATATCCCTTTGCTGCTCCTCTTGTCCTCCCCCCATGGTGACCTTCGGTGTTGCTTTGTTTCCTTTTTCCAGATGTACCAGGCGAAACTCTTTGAAAACGAAGGATCGAGAAACGGAATTCGACGGTTCGCAGGCAGCCAACACTTTCACTATATCTCCAAAGAAACGTCCGCCCCCGAAACGCGCAACGGGACAATCATGGTGCACTCCACGATAACAGAAATGCTGGCTAACGTAAGTCAAAGGCAAACGCTTGCCTGGGCCTTAACGGTTGCTCCCAGTCGCCTTTGGTAGTGTCCGTTTCACGAAAAAAACGTTCGGCCGTATAGAACGCGAAATATGAGATACATCTGTCAAACGACGACGTTGAGCCCGTCTACATCTTTCTCTTCAAGACCGAGCCAAAACCAAGGGTTCTCGGTTCGTCAAAATACCGACACAACCTGTGTGCGAAATCATAATTCGAAGGTCATCCTCGGCCGGGCCGTAGAAACAAAGGCAAGCCTTCATGCGAAGGCCGCTGCATCAAAGGACGAAATACAAAAACTGAGCTCCGAGGTCGGGAAGTCGTTCCAGGTGGGTGGGCAGCCTAGAGCCAAAAGAGCGCGTCTTGTTTCGCTTCGTTGAAAGAGATGCTCGAGAGTGGCGCCCAAAATAGACCGGGCGGGAATCATCATGCGAATAGAGTGCTCGACAAGACGATTGTGGAGACTCCGAAGCAGGCGTAGTCTTCAGAAAAGGAAGCGCCGCAATGGCCAGCTTCAGCGTGAGTTTGTTCATCTGGTGGACATGTCTGTTTCTCATTGCTCGCCGTCCCTACATAATAATGCGTCAGGTGTGCTGGGATTGCCCTGGCACTCTTCTGCCGTTCCACGTCAAACCTATCCCTGAACCTGTTTGCGAGATCCTCGAGTCCCTGCCTGGAGGCGCCAAGATGGGAGACGTGTGGAGCGGAAGCCTGTGCCCCGATTGGTGCATGAAGCAGGAACCTGTGTCTCAGAAAAATACCCAATCAGACGTCGTCGACGTCCGAATGTGTAGCGCCAGGACTCACCAGCCGTGATGAGATCGGTTCATGGTGGTTGGCCAGAGAATGGCCAAAACCTTTATCCGAGAGTCGCACGGAGCAACACCCGGACAACCGGAACCAAATATGTAAACCTACCTGGGCGAACCATTCCCCCGCGCGCCCCGTGGAGGGGGATCACTCACCTCGATTTGACAAAGTGAATTTAGAGCCCTGAATCTGATTCGGACATGAACGAACGATAGCGATGAAAAAAACGAAAGAAGCGGGGAATAGCTCAGGATCCCACTGTTAATGCTTCCATGGAATGTTGGACAAGTCCATGGAAGCCTGAGTTTTGGCCATAGAAGCTAGCACATCCATGGAAGGTCGTCCCTTGACGTTGTCCCATGGAAGTACAACAACTTGCATGAATTCGTCGTAATATTGAGACTTGCATGAAGCATTCGGTTTTCATGACAGTTGAAGCTTGCAGGGTTTCATATGGGCGATGCATCCATTGTATCTCGTAGGCGTCTCGTCCGTCGAAGTCTCGTTTCCAGCTTCTATATACGTCGGACTCGACCAGATTCAAGGGAAGCTGCAGCATCATGCCAAATACATATTTACAGGATGTCATCGCCGAGTGACATCAGACTTAATGGTAGAGTGCACCAAAAGGGGGTCGTTTTTGTCCTTCTCAGGTCACACGTTGCGACGCGATGCCAAGCGTTGTGGCCACCACATGTCTGACGAAGTTTGGCGCTGCTCTCACGTGTACTGAAGCTTTACATGCTGTCGTCACACCCTGCTATGAGTACACTAGTCGAAGGTGCACGTATGGTTTGTCGTTGTTGCAAACTCGCGCTGGCTGCTGCCCACGGTGGTCATGACGAAATACCTCACCACAACGAAAGTATGTCACCTCGCAGAAACTGCAAATAAATGCAATTTTTGTCAAATACAAGTAAAATAATGTCCAAAGCATGTAACCACGAAGGGGTTACGTGGATGAGAACAGATAATCTGCACCAAAGGCTTTGAGAGAGCGCCCACTCGTGACAAGCCTCCCCAACCCTAACGAGGAAGCGTGCAGCACGAAAAACAGTAGACTACCATGCAGCTGAGCGCGACTCAGCTGGCCGCGGCCGCGCCGGCCCCTGTGGGGAAGACCGTTGAAGAGTTGGTGTGTTTCGACACGAGCTCGGCCATTGGGGCCCTCCCGACTCTGGCACTCGCGCGAGTCTGCACCAGCGAGGGCGCTTCTCTGAAAGGGAAGGACAAGACCGCTCTGTTCACCATGATGCTGCCATTGGTGCTGGCGCTGGGGCAGGGTACACAGGAGACGATGGAGGGTTTCCTGCGCGGCGCGGAGAACTAGGAGCACGGATCGACAGGCGCGATAGCGGCCAGGAAAGCTTTCGGAGCGCGGGCATTCATGGGAGAGGTGCTCGAGGTGCTGCGGGATTTTGTCGAAGATACGGACACACACGTAGTCCTGTCGGCTCTGCCATCGTCGGGCAAAGCTCCCGCTCGCGAGTCCGGGGCGGCTCCGCCGGCCCCAACTCCGGAGGCGGCGGCAGCTCCCGCGGCGGCGGCGGCTGCCGTCCCAGTGGCGGTGGCCATTCCGGCGGCGGCGGCCCCAGCGGCAGCGGAAGCAACTTCGACATCCGCGGCACCCGCCCCCGCGGCGGCGCCCGCAACGGCGGAAGCGCCAAACTCGGCGATCGCAACAGCCCAGCAGCAGCAAGCAGCCAACCACCAGGTAATGATGTCGGCGGACGAACATGAACGTGGTGCAGGCGGAATCAGGCCACGCGGAGGTGAGGGTTACAGTCCCCGTTGCTAACTGTCTCGCGGTGTGTGCTCGTCAACAAAAAGTTTCGTCGCCCGTTCTAATTCCAAGACGATCCTGAACCCGTCAAGGATCATCGATTTGTTCAAGTAGTATGTTCTTCCGCGCAATGTTTGAGTACTCCAACATGTCCGATCCTTCGCGTCAAAATTCCTTAGACGTCTTCGACGATCGTCAAGCCTTTATCACCCCGGTCCCCGCCGAAATTGCAACGGAAAGGTTTCATGTGCACTAATACTATTGTCATGCTCTGTGGATACCCCACGCGGACCGGTGATACGACGTAGGGAAGACGGTCTTAATTTCAAAGGAAGTAACTGTCGGTGGTCAGGCAGTTGGGACTGCTGTACAGGACGTACGATACAAGTGGTCACGGGCCGCTTTTAACGTGCCACGGGGGTTCTCTGCAATTATTTACCGTCTACGCGTATCGCCTCGAGATGAGGCGTAACACCCATCAAGTTTTTAACGTGTGCGTGCATCACCCTGGACATGCTTTCAATGGATCGTGGCACCTCACGAAGATCACATGTCGGCGTACCTTTCCCTCTATCTACCTTTGAAATAATTTCTTTGATATTGCGCCTTTCACATGCTGCATACCGAGCACCATAGGCCTCAACGCTGAGATATAGTTCCACGAACGATGTGTTGGACATGTTTACGGGTCTGCTACCGAGTGCTCGCGGGGTCTCCAACGATCTGTTTTCGGCGGACTATGTGCGTATACGCAAGAATTCGGCTCCGGTCGCGGGCATGAACACGGCCATGGGGACGGCGCTCGGCCTCCCGGTCGTACCCGCGCCATTCCCGACGTTCGGACCGGGGGGGGGAGCTTTCGGCGTCCACCCTTCCCCGCTCCCCCTGCAGATGGCGATGCAGCCGGGGGTCCAGCAGCAGGCCCCGCGGCAATCTCGTCGGCAGGCACGATCGCAAGGCGCGTCACATGGGGTGGCCGGACACTGTATATAGCCAGGGGCCGCCCGGTCGGGGCGGCGGCGGCCGGGGGAATGTAGCGGGGGGGCGCAGTGACGGGAGTACCGTCCGCTAGCCACCAACAAATGCTAGCCGACGTGCGTAACCAACGCAACCTCGCCCTGCAGCAAAGGCAACTGGCGAACCCGGGGGTGCCCGGGCAGGGCGAGACGTGCCACAAGTGCCGGGCCGCCAACCGTGATGCGAACCACTCTCACTTCGTATGTGCCTTCTGAATATGCGGCAATTGAAGAAAAGCAGGGCATCGCAGGGCGTCGTGCCCGAACCCGACCGTGCCGTGAACGAGCCGTAGCGTACGCAACAGAAGGAGTTTGGGAGGGACACGGTAGCAATTTACGAACGGGTGGGGGGATACTCGAGCGTTGCACGCGGTTGGATTTTTTTCGCGGGTTCGAGATAGCATTTCGTATTCCGATAAGACGATGCGTGTGGTACCCGTCGGATGACCATATCCCGCTCGCGGTTCGTGTCATTTTTCAATGCATGTCAGTTTAACATTGGCGCAACATGAGCGCTGAGTTCGTTCCTTCGATCGCACGGGATCGAGATAAAACACGTTAATAGCAGGTGATATCCCCGCGGTGCGTTCTTCGATCGGCTATCGGCGGCAAATCAATCCATTCTACGGCAGTTTAATCCTCTATTCTCATACATGACTTCATGATAATAACACGAACACCATTGATTCCCCGCGGGGCGCCTGGATCGCCCGCCAGCGAGAATAAGAAAAGAGTAGCATACAACGACCTCTGCCTACAACGACCTCTGCCTTTCGAGGGCATTGGCTGATATTGCTGACGCAGTTTAATCCTCCATCTTTGTAGACCGTGACTCACATTCGGGAGAAGAATGTCCATGTATCACTGCACAATAATCAGCCCGGAGCGTCGTTGTGTCTGCTCTCCTTGCGTCCGCCATGCATCTCGGTGGGTCCGTCTGGTCACAGTACATCGTAGCTACGTTTGCTTTTCTTACATGGACCCTAGCTAACCCTCGTATCAACGAATCCCTTAACTTCCCGCTAAGCGGTACCCTTTATCGTGTAGTGAAACTACAGACGTATTCCGGCGAAACCTGTTCAACGTCTCACTACGTAGGTATTGGCTGATGATTGGCTGAAGAACCTCGCGCAACGACATGCGCAAGTTAGAATTACGTTCCCCGACGTCCCCGACCTGTCCGGCGAACAACGCGAATGGGCGGGGCCACGTTTGACGCCGGGAGTAGCCCGCGTGCCTACGATGGCAGAAGTAGAGCGACCACCGAACGGGGGCGGACACGCCCGTCTGCCGTGGGACGCTCCGTTGAGAGACGCTGGCGAGGACGGGGAACATTTCGTACCAGGGGGGATTAACCACAACCGTGAATCTTGGGACAAGGTTATCCTACGAGACCATCCCCAGCGCGATCAACTGATGTCATATATTCGGGACGGTGTCGGCATCTTCGAATTTCTCCGCGATGAGTACCGAGGGAAGTCGCGTAAGGAACCATATCGCCCAGCAGCGTTTCCGGCGGGGCGTATTCCCCAACCACATACCAGACGAACATGCGGAATTCGTGCGGCGAGAGGTGCAAGCGCTGGAAAGCGGGGATGTTTAGTGGGAGGACGTCCGAAGACCGGGGGGAGCGGATAGACCGCGGTTGATCCTGTCGATTTCGGTGGAGCTAACCAAACCCCGTATGATTATTAACGGTATCCCCCTTAATACCTGCTGCAAACACGTACCGTTTACGATGGATACGGTCTCACGGGTGGCACACGTCGCAGAAGAAGGGGTGATCATGGGGAGCTTAGACGACCGCGCGGGTTTCCATAATCTCTCCTTGCAGCCCGAGAGCTGGCCGCTATTGGGCGTACACTTCGATGGAATGGAGTACGTCTGCACCACCCTTCCGTTTGGGTGGAACGAGAGTCCATTTTGTTACCATTCTTTGAGCGAAGCCAAAGCCGCGTACCTGCGGTCCAAGGGCATCCCCGTCCTGGCGTAAATCGATGACGCCTGGTATGCGAACTTCGTCGCTACCTTCAGGAAGTCGGATCGAGTACAGTGGCTGTCGGCGCCGGACGCTCTACACACCGGCATCCTAGTATCGTACAGATGCGGATATTTTCTGTCCATCAATAAATGCGACCTCAAACCCTCTCAGCAACAGCGGTATCTCGGAGATGTCTGCGATTCCCATACCGCATCGTTCCGCATCCCGGAGGATAAGTTTCTCAAACTCCATCAGCCCATCGACCAAGCGCTTGCGAACGACTCCGTGCCCGTGCGCACGCTCGAGAAGGTAGCCTGCAAGTGTGTCAGCATGTCGGTCGCGATTCGGCCGGCCTCTCTTTAGACTCATTACGTGTTCGCGGCGAACGGGAAGGCTAAGGGTCGGGCCATTCAGTTGAGGGACTCTCCGCGCGGAGCTAAGCAATTGGCTCACCCTGTCATCGACCGCTCAGGAGGACCGTGGTATAAAGCGAGACACTACGACGTCTCTCTCACCACCGCTTCGCCGGACGCATCATCCAAACAATATGGTGGAATAGTGTCGCTGCGGAGTGGCGCATTCTCCGCTGGCGGAGGTTTCAACCACGAATGGCTTTCGCGTTCCATTAATGGCAAGGAGATGTTCGCGTTGCTCGATGTGCTGAAGGAGTGTTGTAGCGATCGCCCGGGGGAACTTAAGCGAGCACAAGTTCTGATGGATGTCGACAATAGAGCGGTCGTCGACGCGCAGGAAGGGCAGATCGAGTAACCCCATCGCACACTCGATGCTGGTTAGCCTTAACGAGCTGCAAATCAAGCACGGCTTTTGGCTCACATTGAGGCGGGTACCGTCAGCGGCGAAGAGCGTCGCCGACGACATCACACGACCAGCCCGGCACGAAATTATCCGCCTTCGATCACGTGTGTTTGAGCAGCTACGCGCGTTTTTCGGAGTATTTACGGTCGATCTTATGGCGTCTTCCGATATTGCTCAGTGTACCGATGCGGGGGGAGCCGGGGGCCCATCCCGTCTGCCGTTTTTCTCACGGTATCACTGCGAAGGCACGGCCGGGGTGGACGTCGTTAGCCAGGATGTAGCAATTACACCGGGGCTGGGCACGCCGGCCTTTGGGTATTGTTTCCCGACGCCTCTCATGGCGGGGCACATTATTCAACATCTGTCAGAGTGTCCAGCTCACGCAGTGGTACTAGTGCCAGATGTACGAGATTTTTGGTGGCCGTGGGCCGCACGGGCCGCCGTCAAATCGCTAGTGTTCCCGAGGACGGGGAGTTTTGGATACCCCCACCATCAGGACGGCGTTCACGATTACGCTTGTGTACGACACGGAATGCGCGCGGTGGAATTGGATTTTCGCGATAATTGATACGGTGATTATAATCTCCCCTCCCTTTGTTCGTGTTCGCTTCGCCGTGCCTGTACTATCATCAGAATAATGCGGCGGAGACCCTCGAACGGGTTCCCTCCGGATCCACACGAGTACAGGACAGGATACCGCAAGTATTGTGTATTGTGTAGTACGTGTGGGGCCCAGAACGATGCCACATTCAACTTCTGCCAATACTGTGCTACTCCACCGTTTTGGGGGCTTTTAGAACCTCGGGCGCCCGGGGCGACCGTGGTCATCGATAAACCCGATTGGCTGAGTGGAAAGAGACAGTCTTGACATCGTTGAGTAGTAAGGCCAGTCAGCAACGCAAATGCGCGGTGGCGGACAAGTTTGACGCATTTCTCCGAGTGCACACGAACGGGATGCGGGGATGGGAAAGTGCTACTGATGTCGACGTGCAGGATTGGCTCTGCTGGC